AATGTACAGTATGTATGGTGAGCATATGAACAAGAGTGTCACTGTATGTTACAGTACATATCTTGTTTTTTTCATTGTACTTCAGCTGTCTAGATGTCCCATAGCTGCTACCCTGGCAGATACCTCTTTTAAGTGATTTACTGGAAGCACTTAAGTGAAAGAATATTCCAAAACTATTATTTTTAGGTGCCTGTTTTGTGATGCCTCATGTTTTGCCCAATCTATTTGGCTTAAACTCCATTTTGTAGGCATACCGTCTAAGTTCCTTTACTGCTTCACTTAAGTAATACTCTTTTAAAGCTGAATTCCATATCTTTAATTGAAGCTTTATCCATGGAGTATTTTTTCATTGAGTTTATCTAAATTCTTGTTATCTAATAATGCCTGAATTGGGGAGTTACTCACAGGGGATAATTCAATGTCTTTCCAGCAGGCTTGATATTTTGGATTCCAGAAATTAATCAAGGGTTTAATTTGAGATTAATAATATAATCTTTCAAATTTGGTCAAGCCATTTCCCCTTTATGTACAGTATCTAGTTTTCATATTAATAAAAAAATAAAGTGAAGCATCCTGAAATTACGCTAGTGTGGTAAAGTATGAACATATATTCTTAAAATGTGATATAAACTGTTTAAAGTCATTGTAGAACAAAGTAAATGTGTGGTTTTAGCATAAAAAAATATAATATGCATTTATTTAAACCTTTAAATACCCTTTGCAATGAGATGCACATGTTGTTAAAAAGCTTTTGAGATACCCATTTAAATCTGGCAGATTATTCTGCAAAAAGTTATTTCGCAAATAATAGTTTGTCTGAAATTCAAATCTTGCCCTCTGAAAAAAGAGCTCTGATTTTAGTGCTTTTGTAGCTGCTTTATTCAGTTAATATTTAATTCCATATTCCTTTATTGTGTTTGAAGTGATTAAAGAGTGGTCACTGAAAGGTGGGAAGTGAGACACTGGTATTAATTAATGTCTGTCCTCCAATGACAGACGAGAAATGACAAAGTGTATTTTGCACTTAAAAGCTGTACAGCGGATTAACTCATCTTCAGGATGAGGAGTCTGTGCTGTTGGCTGGGGATGTGGACTGTGCAGAAAATGAGCAGTTAGACTGAAACAGCTGAGAGCCCCACCCGAGGTCAGCCAGAGAGCTAGTTACTATTTTAACTGCACATGAACTGGTGGATCTGGCAGCATCTCCCATCTAGCTGCCAAACAGGACAAATGGGACTAAGGATCTCCCCTGGTCTGGTATGTCTGGCCAGGTTAGATAGATTTTATTGTGTACATACAGTAGCAACTCAATTTTGTGACTCCATTGGACACAAAACTCCATTGGACATCTGGACACTCCATTGTCCAGTTACTTCATTTATCCATTTGGATTGTCTGACCACAGTATGGTAAATCTTAGATTGGTTATACGTTACATAACACATATAAAGCTGTACTGGCATTCTAATACAATATAGTTTTTTTTCTGAAAGGTGGACTAGCAGAAAACTGTTTTTTCCTTTACTGAGACAGTGGTGGGATGTGGGGATACCCCAAGTTTTCAGAACTGAGGGCCATGTTTCATATTTATTGTAGGGCCACTACATAACAGCTGCATGGACTGCAAAATGAAAATCCCCTTTTTAACCTTAAGCCTCAACTAATCCATTTTAAACCTGCAGTTAGTAGATTAAAAATGTCAAACAGATATCACCTCGTTCATCATCACTTCCTCCTGTTGTCTTGAATTATAACGGATCAATGGCTTTGCTGATCACAAGTGTACAAAGGAGTTGTCATTATCATTTACGTAACGTGGAGTGGCACGGTGGTGCTGTTGTTAGCATTGCAGCGCTGGGGCCCTGGGTTCAGTTCTGGACTTGGGTTTGCTATCTGTGTGGAGTTTGTATGTTCTCCCCATGTTTGTGTGGCTTTCTTCCTCCCATAGCCCAACAACATACAGGAAGGTTAATTGGCTTCTGGGAAAATTGCCCCTGATGTGAGTGTGTGTGTGTTTGTTCCTGTTTGTGTCCCACGATAGACTGGCTTCCCCCCCAGGATGTGTCCTGCCTTGTGCTCGTTGCATGCCAGGATAGACTCCGGCTCCCCCACAACCTTATATTGGATAAAGCAGTTAGAAAATGAGTGGATGGTAACGTAATCAGAGGCCATGACTCCTTCAGAAATCATGAGCTATAACCATATGAAAGTTCATATTATATGTCACACCAAAAAAGCTCTGGCTTAAAAGATCAGATTTAGCCTGGATAATAACTGACCTTAAAGCATCCCTACCCACTACCCGCCACCATATGATATTATGGACACAAGTGTTATGGTTCCAGAATACACAGGTGTTTATTTCTTTAATTATATTTATAGGATTTGAAGACAAAAAAAAAAAACATGAACTCATTGATATTGGTGATCAGAACTTTAATTGGTTTTACTCTAGTCTTAAGATTTTATAAGTCCAGTGCTGTAGCACTTTTGAAATATTCACTTTTGTGAATTAAAAAAAAAGAAAATCATTTATTAAAACCAACAGTAACACCCCTGCCTCCTGTTATAAATAAAGTTTTTGTGACCTTGCTTCTGGTCTTTTTTTGCAAAGTTGGCATTTGCTGTGTAACCACATTAACTGATCTAACCGTCTGTGAAGAATATGTGCGTGTGCTGTTTTCAAGCAGGGTCATTTCCTCCTTTCTGTTACTGTGATCTTGGAAAAATCTTAGTTTACAAGGTGGAGGTCCTGTTTAAGCAGTGTTGATTTTTTGGGAAAACAATAGATTCTTCTCATGCCCTGCATCTCCTTACTTGTCAGTACAGCTCTGAGAGAACACTTTCTTTATAGTTTCATATAATTTATGAATATTCATTCATTATATAGAGTTATGTGTGCATTACATGTATTATATACAGTATGTATACAGACTGGATAATACTACATTAAGTGCCTGCATTCTGTATTTATCCACTAAAGTATTTCTGTTTAATTATGTGAGTTACCATGCTTTCAGTAAAATATGATTTCTCACCATGCAAAACTAAATTTTCAACTTTCCAAATGTGTTTTCCTGACCTCAACTGCAAGACATCTAATTAGCCTTAACCTATTTAAAAATGTAGCCTAGTACAGGCAGTCACAGAAACAAAACAAATGCATGTTTATTTCAGAAGCAGATTGCATGGATCTTTTCCCAGTGCACAAAATGAAACACAAGACAAGAGAATGCAAGTCTGTAACAGAGTGGGGGTGAATGTTATGAAAATGAGTCTGTAAATTGCATTGAACTTTCAAATGTATGAATGTAAATAATGTATGCAATTACTACAGGTAACTAACACACTACAATTATTGAGTGTGGATACATGAAGACTGCAGAACAGGTGAAATTAACATTAGGTTTGTTATTTAACATTAACATGTACTAAAAATATAACTTATATATATATAAGAATATCATGTTTGAGTGCCAGTCATAGTGTCTTGTGTATTGTGAGTGTATTGTTAATGCAGAATGTTGTGAACTGTCCACCTGCACACCTGTTTAAAATTGTAGATTAAAAAATGTGCTTGTGTTTGTGTACTTAAAATATATAAAAAACAAATGTCCCCAGTTCCATTGTCTTTCCCCTTAAACCACACAATGACAAAGGCATCTTACTTTATTGTACCTTGTGTATTATTTTTGATTTTTGTTTATGCTCTGATTGCTGCCAACACAAATCAGTCATTAGACAGCTTAATGGGGAAAATGTATTTAACTTGGCTTGAGCTTGGGGTTATTATCTTAAATGCGTGCTGTGCAACAGCCGAGGTTGAAAGTGCCGAAATCTGTTTGCCCCCTTTCTCAACACTCCACGAACAGCCCAATCTGCTTGAAATGCGTGCATTCTAATTTGACTCCATCCATTGACCTCTATCCTTTTGAACAGCAGATTGGTCCACATGATCCGTGCAACCAGCCGGGCTAATTTGAAATGCAGATGTAGTGATGGTGAACTGAACTGACTCTCCCCAGCACATTGGCTTTTTTTTTGTAATCCTTCCCGGGAGTGTCAGGGTGAAAAATGGCCTGATCAAGGGTCATCCACCCCTACTCACTTAATTATTTTCCTTGTGATCCACAGAACTGTCACAGGCCGTTGTTGATGCAGGAGCAGTTCCGCTTTTAGTTCTCTGTGTCCAAGAGCCGGAAGTTGCTTTGAAAAGGATCGCTGCCTCAGCCCTAAGTGACATTTCAAAACATTCTCCAGAGCTGGCCCAGACTGTTGTGGATGCTGGGGCGATTGCTCATTTAGCCCAGATGATTCTCAATCCAGATGCCAAGCTGAAGGTAGGATGTCCACAGTTTACTTAATTTGAGCAGAGGGTTTTAATATAGCTCCACTAGTGTAAATAGGCTTAATTCCAACAGGAAAGAAAGAGAGAAAAATGTCCGAATTTGCACTGATTCATGGAATTAATCATTTTTTTTTACCATGCCACATTACAGATATTGACTGGGAGATAACTTTTTTTATGGGGTACCTCTGATCTTGGATGATTAAGTTAAAGGAATCGTAGAAAATCGTATGTGTTGATTCTCTTTTAATTTGGCCACGCTGTAGTTCACTTTCGTCAGCCTTTGTGATGTAGATACTGAGATGATTACATATCAGAGGCAAGCCTCGTGTGGTGATTAGTAAGGCTGCTGCACTTTTGCTAGACAGGAGGGACTGGTGTTTTATTGCTGGACTGGGGCACCTATGTCTTCTTGAGTTACGTGAGTTTCAGTTTCCTCAAAGCATCAGAGGTTTTTAAGACTATATTTGATTGGCTGTTCAAAATGATCCTTTCTCCATTGCCTGGCAATGGGCTGGCATCCCATCCAGGGTGAGAGCTGTCAGGTGCTCTTTGCTGCATCTTGCTCAAGGTAAAGTTGTTGTATTCATTAAAAATGTGCTCTTCTATTGCCGAAACACAGATAGAAAGGTCATGAAAGGCCAAACTATTTACACAATTTTGTATGTGATCTCTTGGCACCATTCTTACTTAATGATCTGAATATGATCTAAAAAGTGTCACCCACTTTTATAAGCTAATAACGAAGAAACAGATGTAGTTACTTTAGCCGGTCTTTAAGAAGCTTAGGTGTTTTTTTTCTAAATGGCTCCTTTTTTCCCTCGACAGCGTCAGGTGTTTTCAGCTCTCAGTCAGATTTCGAAGCACTCGGTGGATCTGGCAGAGATGGTGGTTGAGGCGGAAATCTTTCCTGCTGTGCTTACATGCCTGAAGGATCCTGATGAGTATGTGAAGAAGAACGTTGCGACACTGATGCGGGAGATCGCTAAACACACCCCAGAGGTAACAGCTGATTGGTCCGCACTGTTTTTTTTTTCTCACTCAGACTGTTTTCAATTTACTCTATAGTTTCCTCTTAAGCAGCTGTATTGCAGTTTAATTTGTAGCATGCCCATTTTAGGCATCTACCTACTTTTGACGTGCCATGTAAGGCTGTTAGCAATAATGGCTCCTAAAGATGTTTTTGAAAGACGGGTGGTAGAAATTGTGCCGAAAGGCTAATTGAATATGGTGTTTTAGACTTACATATTGTGTCACTCTGACGTAGTTCCTCTCAGTGTTTCCTTATTCAAGGTTAGGTCTGATCAGTTAGGAAGGGTTAGCAAACAATGGTACATATATGTACAAATGGGAAAATCAAATAGTAACAGGACAATTAAGCAGTCCAACCATTAGGACCTTAAATGGAAATGGTAGGCACATACTTGAATCCCTTTCTGAAAATAATTATATTAATCCAACAACCGTATGAAAAAAACATTTTTCCTACCCTGTGTCTATTATTATTTTTATTTGTATGCGTTTGTGTCATTAGAAAATTTGTGGTTCTGTGCCATCCCTTAAATTATGTTGTCTGTAGTCTTTTCTTTAATCCTTATCCTCCACTCCTTTATCTGGTCTCATGATGCCTCACAGAAACAGTCTCTGGGCACTTTGCCATCTGAACAGCTGCACACGGCAAGAGAGTCACTGGATTTTCACTAATGGAACTAATTGATTTTACAAAATAGGAGACCTTGTTAAAAATGTTGCATTTTGCCTGTGTTTTCCTATGGATCTCGTATTTGTGCAGCATCTCCTTTAACGATGTTTTGCAAACATATTATTCCAATTCATTTGGAGCTCCCCCCACCCCTCCCTACCCTCAAACAACATTGGTCAAGATTGCGAAAACTTAAAATGTCTTCCTCAGATAAATTCCTGTTACGTTTGCAAATTAATCCTTCGCACACACGTATGTGCCTAATCTTTCAGGTGTATTAAAAGAAGGCACCCTTTAACTGTTTGCGTCTGTCTGCTGTGATGTGATGTCATCTATCCGTGTACAAATATGTTTGCACAAAAGTTGGAAATCCTGGATTCATACAGTTTTAAAGGTTTTATGATACATTGACTTGAGATCACCTACACGTTAGACTTACACTCCACTGGATTTATCACATGGTCTCAGTCTTCTGCCTATTGGTACCTGCATCCCTCTCTTTTGCAGCTCTCCCAGCTGATTGTCAATGCAGGAGGAGTGGCTGCGGCCATTGATTATATTGGCGATTGTCTGGGTAGCGTCCGTCTTCCAGGTATCATGATGCTTGGGTATGTGGCGGCTCACTCTGAGAACCTGGCCATGGCTGTGATCGTGTCCAAGGTGGGTGTGGTAGCTCCACAGACTGCTCATTATTTATTTGACTTCTAAGACCGCGTGTTACAGGCAGCTAATACTTTTTGCCTGAGCCAGAAGAAGACCTCCTTTTAACAAGTGCAGATTACCTGTTAAATATGAATGAAGGATTTCCTGTTTAATATTAGAGCATTGATTACTCATCACTTGTGCACTTTGTTTTCTTGTGAATGAATGTAGTAATAATGACTCGTGGTGTCACAAAAACAAAAGGCGTAGGCTGGCCATCCCCACAAATTAAAATCTTGTGCTACAACGTTCTCAAAATGAAGTGGCTGTGCACAGGAAAGTTTTACAATAGAGAATCTCTCCAGTAGATCTAGGTTTGTCCTTTAACTTATTTTTTTTCTTAAAGTAAGCTAGTAAGCTGACATAGGAAAGCTATCATGTGTTTTTGTCCCATATGTGTTGTTTCATCCTTGGCGGTATTGTGCAAAATTGTTGTTCAGAGGTCACTGATGAAGAAATAGCTTGTTACTGATGAAAAATGTTTGGCTAATGAATGTCATGACAGCATATTCCCATGGCTTGGTGTCCATTGCTCATGAATACACAGCCATGATGGCACCATAAATGACTGATATCATTGCTTATTTTATAGCAAAAAGATTGAAATAACAAATGTGTTTTCCTTAAATTGTTTTTCATGAACTAGCCTCATACGACCATATGTTTGTTTATTTAATATTTCAACATCCACATTAATATGTTTAAAAGTTGTTTAAAGTTACTACTCAGTACATTAGCCTAATAAAATAAAAACAGTTCATTTTTTTTGTAACACTTCCAAGGTATTCATAAATTAAAACGTTATGAAAAATGAACAATCATATTTAACAATGCGTCTGTTGGTAGTAAGGGCCTTTGTATATATTAATCTCATACAGTTCTTTAAAATTCTGTTAACAGTGGTGATTTAGACAATCAGACGTGTGTATTTTAACCAATACGTTATACCCATGACAAAAACGTTTTGACACCACCATCAAAGTGTGATTATATATAATATATACAGATTTTATTCAGCACAAAGGTATATTAAACAGTTTGCTATGCTTTTGTCTATGCGTCCTTTTACAAATTTAACTTCTTAAATCTGTGCTTCATAAATCTCACACAGTAAATAAATTTGAGTTTAACTTTGTCATAAATAGCATTCTTGTGTGAATGAACATGGAAGTTGAAGTTATTATTCAAGAGCAATCTGTGTAAGTCACGCCTTTTATATCAGACCTATGCTAGAACATTCAATATTTTGTGTGATGAGAACCATACTACTAGTACAGCGTGAGATTTATATCAGCACCCTGCTGACTTCACATTGTTAATTAATAAATATGACCCCTCTGCTAATTACAGATTTGAAACTCATTGTCTGATGGTGGAATTCAGTTGATGCGAAAAAAATCTGCAGTATAGCAAACTAAATAGAAAACAGCTGTTACGTAAGACATTTACAGTTTGTGCCTTGTGTTTTATTTGACCAAATACAACCATTTTTATATTGAGGGATAAGGCTGCAGCACAATTCTATGTATGCTTGTTGGCATAAATGTGTTTTGGCTGTCTGGCCAAAATGTGTGAACATTTCCATCCTTTAGTAGCTTATAGGTCTACAGTTTGGATAAAACTTACATTCAAATATCATCAAAGACTGCTGAGCAGCCCAACCGGTGAAGTTCAGAGGTCTTTCTTGTTCATAAGGCAGAATCCATTAACTTTGCATGTACAGTAAAAGCACCTTCTGTTACCGTTGTTAAGAAGAGCCACTTCAAATGCTTCTAACTGGGTACTTAAATGTGTAAAATGCAGACTTGACTGACTCCGACAAGGAAAAGAGGAAGGAAGAAAGAACTGGCCTCTCATCCTAACAGTAAATCATCCCCAGTTGTAGAAAATAAAAAAAAACATACTTGTTAATTCAACATTTTTAAAACAGCTCTTCAAACATCAAAGGAAAATATAATACTGATTGAGCTGATCAGCTGTATTTCTAGCTGTTCTTGAGTGCCCGTTGTTTTTCCACACATTCTTCCACAGTGATGGCTACAGACTGCTTGTTATTCCGATTGTAATAATGCTGTGAGGCCGGTGCTGACCCACACCGTCTGTGTCCCGATCGCTGCAGGGGGTGCCACAGTTGGCTATCTGTCTGACAGAGGAACCAGAGGACCACATTAAAGCAGCGACAGCCTGGGCCTTCGGGCAGATTGGGAGACACACTCCTGAGCACGCACGGGCTGTTGCTGTAGCCAATGTGTTGCCAAAGCTGCTTTCACTGTATATGGAGACGGACAGCTCTGAGGACCTCCAGGTGAAGGTAAACTACTCTATTCATGAGAATTGCCCTTCACTGTGGAGTCTGGTTCTGAGCCAAGTTAACTAACATGGCATTTGGCTACATAGAGCATATGCACCTCCTGAGAACTATGCTGAGGCAAGGTGAACTTTCTGTATCTAGTAGATACTTTATTTTGTCACTGCCTTGTCACTGTATGTAGTGTCAAAGCATCAATTGTTTCGAAAATCTAGCTCGTCAACACAGAACGTTTTCAATCACTTTTTAAAGAGGACGTGTATGCTAGGAGATCTTTATATATTCTGTATAGAATTTGAAAATACTCTTTATATATTATATACTGAATACGTGCATATTTATTAACATGTTAATTAGAGGTAAGGCTGTACAGTTACTGTTGTGTTTCCAGCATAAATTGGTTTTAACCTGTAAAAATGTTTTCTTTCCAGCAATTTTACTTACTAAAATGCATATTCCTACCTTGTCTTTCATAGTAATCTATTATAGAGCTGGATTACATCCCAGTTACATGATCTATACACGATAGTTTAGTACATTCTATAGCTTTATATAAGTTGATGTGAGGGACTTCAGCTACGCAAGACAATACAACATAAAAAAAAGCTTAATTATATTTCCTTTGTATATTAAACACAATTGATCTCCAGTTTGAAATCGTCAGACATTTAAACCGTTTTCTTTGTGAACTCCTGTGTGTAGTGTTTTGTTGCAGAATGCGCACGCTTTCTATTTTTTTAAAACAGAAACCAGTCTGTTCGACTGATTTCCAGCTTTCAAGGCCTAGGAATGCCGAGCACGATGGGCTTGAAATTCCTGTCATTGTTTCAGGGAGATGCCAGAGAGCTCCCATTAATGTTTCCATCTTGTAGGCGAAAAAGGCACTGAAGAGCATCCTGCAGAAATGCACTCATCTGCCAGCACTGGAGCCTCTGTTGCATGACGCCTCTCCAAATATTCTCAAGCATGTCGTCGGCCAGTTCAGCAAGGTAAAGACAGAACAGACCCGACGTTTCATTAAAATCCGTGTAGAAAGACGCTGATTGCATAAATTATCATATTAAATCTTTGCAAAGGAGCAAGTAATAGGTTTATTCCATGCTGAAAAAAAGAAGAAAGAAAACACAGCGGTTCGGCCGTGGAGCCTTCTTCGGGTGTTGTTTAAATTAGCCAGTTACTGCATGAGCAACAAAATCGCCGGTTTCATACATTTACATTTTAAAACAAGCAGGGTTAATTCCATGCTGAAAAGTAGAAAAAAGAAGCAAAATACATAGTGCTTTTTTTGTGGAGCCCTTGTGATTTACTTTCTTTTCTATTTTACAATGTGAAAATTAACCTCTATACTGTATGTTCCTTTGCAAGCTTTTTATGATGTGTTTTATTCTACTAAGGATGGTATCATAATTCTTTGAGATTTACACGTCAGTGAATGCCTTTATTTGTATTAATGAACTGTCCTGTTTGTTTGCTTTGCCATGTTTTTGATATTCGTTTTTAAGTATAATGAAATTTAGGCATGTGCAAAGCCCAGACAAGGCTCATTTAAGTAGCTTTAAGTAGCATGAAGTAGAGCCTGTTGTCTTTCCTAGTGACAACACTCAGAAGACAATGTACAGAACATTTCAATTCCACCCAAAATAATCCTCTCTCTTTATACACAGTACAAAAGATTTGTGCAATCTAGCCCTCACATCCAAAAATACGTAGTAAAAGAAGCTGTTTATTTTTTATTCAGTTGTGGTGGTGGGGGAGGGGTGTTCCAGGGCACTGGAGAGTACATCACTCAAGATTAAGGCACTGTCTAGAGTCATTTGGATGTATATTTATCATAAATACAATAAAGCAAGCGAACAGCAATAATAATGCTTAAAAGGAAATCTTCAAATCCATGGAGATCCTGAGACAGTTAGCATTTTTAAAACTCTTTAAAAACCTAACTTTTTGCATTTAATATGCATTTAGTTTTACTCTTGGTTTTATCTATTCTGCCCTGTTTAGTGTGTGGTTTTCCTTTTTACTTGTGTATTTACTGTTATGTGTTTTCCGTGTGTACTATTCTGCAGTGTTCTGTGTCTCTTGAATAGTGCTTAGAAATAAAATGCGTTGGCATTCTTTTAACATTTAACATTTTCTGACATAAAGCTCATTAGCTTTTTAAGTAGAACAAACACCATCATTTTGTACAAAAGGCTTTTTACAATATACAGTATTGAGAACTGTGAAGCAGCTTGCCAGGTTAAGTAAAATGCTGTTTAATTCTATATGTTTATAGATATTATTAATATCTACAAACGCTCTATTAACATATTATTTCTTAATAGGTATCTTCACTAGTGTTACAAATTATTCTATGCTGTGCTCGTTCCTCAGGTACTTCCTCACGACAGTAAAGCCAGACGACTTTTTGTCACAAGTGGCGGCTTGAAGAAAATTCAGGAGATAAAAGCTGAACCTGGATCAGCTCTTCAGGAATATATCAACTCCATAAACAATTGTTATCCAGAAGAAATAGTCAGGTAAGAGTTAACAGCTGGAGGAGAGAATTAACTGAAGCTGTCATTATGAGTGATTTTTAAATACGTTGAATAAATATGCGGCCCTTTCAGTCAGGGCAGCCAATCATCGTGTCCTGCAATCTGCTGGAGTCCTTCTGCGTGGAGTGTGCATGTGTCCCCCATAATCTTATGGGTTTTTGCTGCTCCACTTTCCTCCAGCACACTAAAGGCATCCTGGATAGGCCAATGATTGTCATTGCTTGTGCCTATGTATACATATGATGAACTGGTGTATGCTTGTGGGATAGGCTCAGGGCTGGCACAACCCCTCACCATGAATACACAGCTTTCTGATGATGGTTGGATGGATTAATGCATGAATGCAATCTGTCAATAGTACTGGTCCACTGCCTAGTGAATCCAGAAAGGACTTTTCCTGCAGAGCAGGAATTGGACACAAACTGCATTAACATTCTATGGTTTGTCTTGTAATCACGTGTGTCTTGTTGGTAATATTTCCATAAAGTTTATATTGAATAAACCGTATGAAGAGCCATGATTGGATTGCCAACTAAATCAACACAAGTAACAGAATTCGTTTATTAAGGTATGATATGCTGAGGTGTTTGTTTTCTGTACTTTTTCATGGTTGATGTTAATTCTACTTCTTCACATTTATTGTATGTGACAGATCACATAATCGAGTGACAGAACTACGTCCTGTTTTTCAGGTTATCCCTGCTTTTTAAAAAGTGAAGATCTAGGTTTTCAGTTTTGTTTTCAAGAAAGTGAAACAGGAAGTGAAGAAAGGAAAGCTTTAAAGAAAGCTTTGAAAGAGTTTTTAACATACAGTACCTTGGAAAAGTATTCAGACCCTTTCTATGGTGTCCCGTGTTGTGAAATTAAAAAATGATATACATAGATTTTTGTAAACTTAAATATTCAAACTAAGACTTTTAAGGGTAAGATAGGTTACAGTAAAGGCTGCAGGTTGCAGCCTACGCATGCTGATGCAGCTACCTACTTGAACTAATAAAGTATCTGTCTAACTAATGTTTGACTTCACCATGCTCAAACAGATATTTATATTTTTTAGATGTATGAATACCCTTCTTCCTGATCTAAGCTTTTATATAACTTTATCCCTGAGTTACGCTGAAATCTCTTTGGTATTCATGGTTTAATCTTTGCTTGAAATTCACGACCAGACACAGAGACACCTTACAGAGACAGGTGTATTTATTTCTGAATTACTGAAAAAACTATTGTTGCACATCAACCGTGGCTACTCTGTTAATTGGATTGCTTGTCAAGGTTTGTTCACTTAAATTAATTTGTCATGCCATCATGACTTTTTTTTCTTTCATGTTAATTATTTCCTGCTTTTGATTTGGCTAAGAATGTGTGGGCAGTGTTGTTTAACCTGTGTAACAAATATTAATTTCAGGTGGGTATCTGCGTCAGCACTTGGTCTGCAAAGGAACAACAGGTTTATTCCATGCTGAAAAGAGAAGAGAGAAAACGCAATATTTCAGCTGTGAAGCCTTCTACAGGTGTGAGCGACCTGAAGACCTAAAGGCCTGAAGAAGTCAATGATAATTTGCTCACACTTGAAGAAGGCTTCACAGCTGAAATATTAATTTCTACTTCAAAGTATCATGCTAGCAGGCTTTAAAGAACAAAATGTGCAAGGGCCTGATTACTTTTGCAAGGCACTATATACAGAATAGCTTTTAATGTATCCTTGCCTTAATTATTATAATAGTAAACATTACACCAATACTCAAGGAACTAACACGATTTAGGAGACTGGCATTTATGCATAGAAAATGTAAATTGACACACAAGCCAACACACAACAGTTTACTTACATTATAGATTTCTTTCTTTTTATGCAATAAAAACTATGACAGCAGACTACATTTCAAATCTAAGTCTAATGTGTCTAATTAGTCATTAGTTCAGGTGGGTAGCTGCGTCAGCATGCCTGATGAAGGCTCCACGGCCGAAACGTTGTGTTTTTTCTCTCTTCTTTTTTTCAGCATTGAATAAACCTATTACTTGTTCCTAATTAGTCATTAGTCAATTATAATTTATTCTGACTCTATCACACAATACAGTATTAACGTTGAAGATTTTAGGTTGCTTTTGCTAGCATTTGATATTTAATATTATTTATTTTCAGGTATTATTCCCCTGGATATTCAGAGACTCTTCTGGAAAGGGTGGAAAATTACCAACCTGTTATGTAAGAACTGTTTTATGTCTGACTTCACTAAGAATTTCTACTGAAATAAACAAACTTATCCATCAGTCACCAGGAGTTATTGTCTGTAACACACAGCATATGTTTAGTAGTTATTAAAATAAAGCATACCATTACACTCTGTTTTGTTTTAACTAATATATTTAAGATTATTATATATTGACCATAAGCAAGTTCACCCTGTTTTGAGACTTCAAAGAAGAATGTGCACTCCATTTTGTGACTCTGGTTATTATTATGTCTAGTAATTGCAATTTAAATGTATGCTTCTTCAGTTAGATCTAAAGTTGACAAGGTTTTCTGATTTTTTTGACAGAATTTGGTGTTTTATCTTGTAATCCTACTTAAAAAAAATAAATTCAGAGTAGAATTGTAGTATCAAAATGATTCGGACCTTAAATAATGAGTCTTTGGTTGTCATAGAAAAACTCTTTGTGTTAATTATTTTGCAGTCATTCTTTGGTTGGTGTTTTTTTTCAGTGTACTTATTTTCAGAGAAATAATGTAGCACATTTATTAACTTCAGATCTCATTATCTGATTTGTGGGCATTCATTACCTAAACAAAAGACTACATAAAACATAGTTATAAAACTAAATTATGCAAAATTATCCTTCTCGTACATAATTTATTTAGGTATTGTTTTATCTTGGTGCTTTTGTTGTTTTGCCACTAGCTCAATTTCAATTAGAATGCAGCAATCGCATAATTAAATCATCAGTTATTGTTTTAAGGGGGTTTACTGGTGGTAGACTGTTTTACCAAATGAACGCACAGAACCAGTCCCAAGTTTGCTTGCATGTGTATGCCTGGAGACTGGCTCACCCAAAAGGCTGTTTCAATTGAAAAGGTGTGAAAGAATAAGAGAATCAACAGGGCTTTAGGAATGTGAGTGGTTGAGTGTTGGTATGTCAGATAGGAAGCAGACTACAGTGCCACCACATGGCTCTACCAGGACATTATGTACATTACCCACAGTTAACACAAAAACCAGGCAGCGTACCTACCAAGTATGTACCAGGGCTAGGCAACAATGGCGACAATAGTACTACTATTGGTACTACTCTTTCATTTAATGATTGCTAGATTTCTCTTTTCACAATTGAACACGAGCAGTAGGGTTTATTAAGAAGTGGCGGCTTTAATTAAACTCTTAAGAACTGCCAGGGTTTCCTTAATTATACTATATCTTATTGCATATTCTGGTGGCCTACATAACCTGAGTTGTTTTGACACGAACCTCAGGTTACTTTTCATAAATCATGGAAGCCTGCACACCTTCTAACATGGTGGTAGCTAAAGAACTGGGTATAGCATACAAACCACTTCCCTGGCAATCCTGGGTACCTGAGCTGACACTTCCAGGACATTGGCACAATGATCGTTTTGTTTTCAATGTCATTCACCAGCAACTGAGGCTCTTTGGCAAAAGGAGCCTTTTCTTATCAAGGGATGGAGGACGTCAACCTGGACATTCAATTCATACACCTGAGCAACCAACACAGTAGGGCTGTTTGGCCAGACCTGGCCCTCCTAGTTATTGCACAGGCTGTAGCCTTCCAAAATCGGCCTCCTTTACTTTCAGTACGATCCCCTTTAGAAAATGAAATTGCAGTTTGTTATGTCCTCCACTTTGTCTTGACAAGATGTATTGGCAGAGCTTCGTTGCCCTCAGAAAGATGAATGTTAATATCTGGTGTGTAGATATATATGCTAAACTTACGGGACCCTGTTATTGAAATATTAAAAATGGAGGAATCAGCATAAATCATGGATCTTGAGGAAAATGTATTAACTTTCTCACATATTTTGCTGGCAACCTTTTTCCAGCAAAATAACCCCCCACACCCCCTTACCCCATCTACCACTGCCAATTCCTTATTAGTAATCAGAGGTTGTCGTACACTGTATGACACAGGCATCAATGTAATGGGCCATGTTTTCAAATGTATTGAGTACTCATCATCACTCAGAACAAAGCCATGCTACTGTAGTAGCCCTTGTTTTGACAGGCGTACCCTATAACATTTCACTGAGATGGAAAATCAGGTCCCTGGACTGACCAACACATCAATATGAAAGCACATTGTGTCTAGTATATGTCCACCACATAAAATAGCCTTGACAATCTTAAATCTATCTCAATAGCTCTTTCAGCTTGACCTTGTAATGTTATATTATGGTCTAGTATGAGAGCACATTCTTTTATTTTGTTAAACTGCATTAAAACACCATAAAATTGTGTGCTTAATTCTGATATATATATTTCAAATATAAACATAATTACACACTTAATTATTCTTTGACTGCATTTCATATGATCTGGTCAATACTGGTTGGTTGTCTTTTCATAGACTGACTGAAGGAAGCGTGTATTTAAATCACTTGTTAATCATTTTAATTGTCCAGAAATGAGGCTTTGTACAAGAGCGTTAATTACCTTTTGTTACTCCGGCAAACCATGATTCAGAAAACCCATTTCATCAAGCATTATCGACTGTCAGTGTACGGCAAAAAACGGATCGTGTCTGGAAAGCATCAAAGAGCTTTCTGTTAGGACCACTTAAAAAAAACAATTTAACAAATCCTCATTTTAACAATAATAATTTTCCTATTTTTTTATCACATTTCTATGTAATGCTCTTGGTTTTATGTCTTTGTATATTAATATAGGCGTAGCATCGCTTGTGAAGTGTGAGTACTTCGTAATATTTTGTGGTCTTTTTTAACGCGATCGTTAAAAGACTTGTTTCTCTTAGCAGCCTTGTCTCTCTGCAGCCTTGACGGACCATCAGTTTTTTTTAGGCCTCCTGATCAATTTGAAAGGGACGAATCGACGTTTGAGATGAACAACTATATATCGGAGGCACGCAAATGCATTCATTATCATAAACCTTTTTTAAAGGAAAGCATACAAAAAGACAGATTCATCGTAGATTTACGATAAAAAAAGGCTCTTGATTGTACCGTTCGTGTTTTTTTTGGTCTCAATTTCCTTGTAGGGCTAAGGTGTTAGAATCTACTGACGCGTCCGAAGAAATGAGAGCAATGAAAGAAATATTCATTTACATGGCAGTTTGGTGTAATAGTGAAAGGGCGGATCACTTCATGACTGGAAGAAGATGTACGTCATTATGACCAACAAGATTTTTATTTAAGATCATGGATTTCTGTTACTCATTTTTCGATAATAAGATGCAGCACGGCAGATTAGATTTGCATCGTCTCTATGCTGGTGTCTGAACTGGCAGAAGGCTGACGGTCGCTTTTTTTTTAGTGTGTGCAACGCTTCCTTGGTTTATGCATAACAAGACCCGAATGCTAGTACAGGAAATTCTGCGTCATACATAGGTTTTTTATTTTAATTGCAACCGCTCCTGTAAAACATGATACCCTTTAGGTGTGCTTTATACGCAATGCTATACAATAATCGAAGAGTTGAAAAGAAGATATTCTCTATAATCAGATATCGTTGGTTGAAGATGGTTTTGTGGTTTTAAGTCACCTGCTTTATAATGGGATGATACAGAACGTAAACAACCGGCAGTTAATAACAGGCCGTCTTCTAGTATGTCGCTGTCTTTTTGTGTGCATACTGTGTTCCACCCCCCTTCTCTTCAATTGAAAGGATACGATATTTCCAAAACATGGAGCCTTTCGTGCAATTGTGCCATTTTCTAAAACTAGCTTTGTTGTCTTTAGCGTGAATTGTTTACATGGAAGGGTCCGTATTAAAAATCAAAAATCCCATTTTTTACGAATGATTGTATTGCTATGACGATCAAGAAATGACAAATACATAGTAATTAAAAACGTGTACTGGTAAAGATCTTTATATAAGGCGTCGCACCGTACACATGCTTATTCTGGTTGCCCTTCCGTTGCTTTTGTTTCTCTGGCAATGTTAAAATAATTGTCAACATTCCCGTAAACAAGATGTTCTCTGCTGCCCTCTTCTGGCGTTTTGAAGTATTTTGGAAAATTCCTCAAGAGAGATGTGTCGCACGCACAGACTGTCTGCTCTACTCACGCTGTCGTGTATAGCGAACAATAATAATTAAACATTATTTTAAAACAGACTTGGAATGATTAGTTCAATTGGCAAACATTTTTAATCGATACAAAAAATATGTGCCTTTTAAACGCCGGTAGAACAACCAGCTGCTGTGAAGAGGCCCCTCTGCAATTTCTTCGGTGAAGTAATTCTTTTCCGAAATAAGTTACTTTTAAAAACACCTTCATCATAGTGCATTTTATTTGTTCATTCATTGAATGAAATTACATTTAATTTTATGTGTTTCTTTAATTAGCTCTGTAGCAATGGTCTTTTGTTTTTTTTTAAACGAATTAAACGAACTATGTGTTCGTGTTGGAAGCTCTTTTAAAAGAGAGAATGTCACAAACTGCAGCTATTTGTCCATTCCCGCGGAATTATGACGCGGAATTCTGGCTTCAATTAATTCGCTAAATTAAGTTCGCCAAGTTCAATAAAAAAAAACAGTATTTCAGGATAAAGCAATTTTAGAACACGACCACAATTAATGCAAAGTAGAGAAGCAAAAAATTTTTCCATGTTGACCTGAAAAAATATTGTTATATAAAATGGAATATATTTTATTAGCTTTTAAAAACGTTTAGCATTTCCACCGGTTTTACCTATTCCTGAGGTGGGGTCTTTAAAATGAAGGCTGACTTTGAAGTTAGATGGTTTCAAATAGCTATATTGCTCTCAACCTTTTACACAAAATGACTTAAATTTATAATAACTGTATTCTAAACTACAAATATTTACTGAAACCCTGTGCTTAGTAGGGATAATTCAGAACTAACTCTTAGCAAAGTGAACAAAAATGCAGTCATAATAATCAAATTATACACTGAAGCAAAAATATGATACACCTCTTAGCGAGTACAGCAAAGTGAAAAATAATTAAACCAGTAAATAAAGTTCAATGGAACATTTGAAAAAATATATCAAATTAAATTTTCGCAATTGGATAGTGATCATTAAACTATTAATCTAAACATCATTAATTTTAAAATGAAATTACAACGTGCATAATACAATAATCATATCATTAGCGGGTAATGAGTTAAAATTATTTTACACTGCGAACATCT